CTCACCTGTTCTTGCTGGACTGGGGTCCTGCAAGTTCCACACACCTCCCGAGAGTCCATGATAATTGCCTGAAACTCCCAGGACAAGGACTCGATCCGATGGTACGCCTTTGACCTCATGTGCGTACCGTCGTGCGATCTTACAGGCCAGATCTACTGCCTCAGCGCCGGTCACCATGGCCGAGATTTGATCGTAACCAAACCTCTTACACATCATCTCTGCAAACACCGGCCACTTTGCGTTGTGTGTGGAAGTGTTGATGTTGTACGCTAACGATCAAATCAGACAAGAGAATTCGACTTTGATTGGGAGTGGCTATTCACCCTTCTGGACCTGTTCGATGACGGCTGCGACGATCTTGGGATGACAGTGGCCCTGGTTGATGGAACTGAACATGCAGATGAAGTCAAGATACTCCTTGCCATCTACGTCCTGTTTCACACCTTGTCAGCTTGCCTCTAAACAGCCAGACCATCATAAGTATATACTTGCCCAAAGTATGGACCCCAAACCTCGTTCGAAGAATCCGGGCAGAGGTGTGAATCCTCCGACAGTGTATCGAGCCTCGAGATCTAGCAGTCGCTGTGCCTGTTGTGATAGCAGAATTTCTTTTTGTTGCGACCGAGCTGGTGATGACTTGGCACTGCAGATATCTGTGCTGAGGCCATTGGTCGCGTGCATGACCTCGACCATAGAAGCAGAAGGCATTGCCATGGTTCCCGAATAGGTCGAATGGCAATGAGTTTGGAAAGCGACGATAGTCAGCAGTGATGAATGAGATGGATGTGCTATTGTGGTCGGAAGGTTAGTACCTCTGTCCGGTATATATGAGAGACGGAAAACCTCTTAAGGTTGCCGCCTTAACACTAGGCTACCACTGGAACCGACGTTGATGCAAAAGTTGTGCTCAGCATGGACTGTACCATTACTCCGACCCGGTGTCAAGGCCGGGCTGTTGTGGGGAGGATAAATATTGTCAACCGGGCAAGTACTCTAAGAGGTTATCGACACGAAAGATGCCATTCCTTATCGTCGTGCTAATATTAATGCCCGTGTTTAGCGCTTGGTAGTGAACTACCACGTCCATCGCCTTCCCACTCTGTCAGCTTCCCAATTCGGGGAGACTCCAGAACTGCAACGATTCCAGGTACGTATTGACACACGAAATTCGACACTGGTGCCATGGTGTATGTTGCCGCTTCGCTGTCTAAATGTTCCGGCCACTGCTGTGTTTTCAATATAACACCGAGGCATCGCAATTGCAGCATGCTGAAACACAGAACTCCATGTCGATCGAATTATTGAGCTGCCCCTCATTCACCGTCACAACTTTCAAGCGACCAAATTGACGACATCTTACAGTAACAAGATCAGAGTAATTTCTCGCGACTAGGCTCTCTGCGCCACGGGACTCCGTACCATTTCTGTCATGGCTTCAGCTTCTCGGCGCAACATTTCTTTCAAGACCGTGGACCAGCTGACCTTGAGAGGCTGGTTTTATCCTGCCGGTGACAAGTCACCCGTTGTTATTCTCTCCCATGGCGTTGGTCTTCCTCTTTACCGGCTTCCAACTTTTGCATGTCCATATCTTCTGACGACACCTACCCGCTATAGTTAACAGGTCTGAAAGAGCAATACCTGGACGACTTCGCAGCCAGGTTTCAAGCTGCCGGCTTCGCATCTCTCGTCTATGACAATCGCAACTTCGGTGCAAGCGACGGTCATCCCAGATTCGAAGTCGACGGCTTCAAGCAGGTTGAAGACTACCATGACGCCATCACCTACGTCTCAACGCTCTCAGAAGTCAGTGCAGACAGAATCGCGATCTGGGGATCCAGCTACTCCGGCGGGAACGTGCTACAGGCTGCCGCCGTCGACCGTCGCATCAAAGCTGTGATTGCACAGGTCCCATTCGTAGCCGGAAGCTCTGTGCCGGGCTTGCTTGATCTCATGCCTCTTATTATCGCCGACCGTTCTCGTATCAGCGAGGGAGCACCGGGTGCATTGATGACCGTCGTAGCAGACACTCTCACAGACGCCCAGGCAGGAACTGCGGCGTGTGTCCTCCCAGCCGAAGATGCATATAGGTTTTTCATGCAGAGCGAGACGGGTCCCAATGCCCAGTGGGAGAACAAAATCACTCTGCAGAGTCTATTCAAACTGATGAAGAACGAACCACGTGCGTACATCGAGAGAATTTCTCCCACACCGCTCTTTATGGTCATTGCCGAGGACGACACAGCAGTCTATGTGCCAACACAGATGGAGACATTCGAGAGAGCAAAGGAGCCGAAGGAGCTATTGTTTCTCAAGGGAACTGGCCACTTTGAACCCTATTCTGGCGACTGTTTCGAGACCAACATCGAAGCACAACTGAAATTTCTGAGAACCCACTTGAAGGACTGAGAAAACACAAAACTTATGTTCTTTGCAGATTGCAGCACCTGCATTTCGCTTCTTCGGAAGTTTAGTAGTAAGAGGCAGTCGTTGGAATGTAGACAGGTCGCTGGGCGACCATTTCGTTTGCAGATGTGCATCATCGTTCCAGCACCTGCAATTGTCATCCTCAATGTATACATCTTTGTTGTTGGCCCATGAAAGCTTACAAAGTAAATCGCCCTGTTGGCGGACTGCAAAGCGTGGGAATAACGGCCTCCTATAATATGATGAAGAGGAAGTCATTAACACTAAAGTGGGATAAGTTTGGACCTGATTGGGGTGACCAAGATCGGGCAAGTAACAGCGAGAATCCTGAACGCCCCAGCGCCCGTTTTGCACTGGTGAGGCGATCTTGGAGTCAACAAATTTGTGCTCCACAGAACCGCAGAGGGTATTGACTTTGGAGTGCTCATATTCCGGTGAAGACTGCTAACGCTTCTTTTCACTTCGTATCCATCATCTCACGCTTTCTGATCACTGCGAAGTCAGTACCAGTCGAATCGCGAGCCGGCGGAAAGCAAACTTGTATAACAACATCCTATCCGTTAAAAATGACAGATGTCATGAAGTAAGTCCCCTGCCCCACGGATTGCACAGAGAATGCGAATAGAGACGCAGGCTCTAATATCCAAAGTAGCCTCTCCGGGCGCGTTGCCATTGTTACAGGCTCATCGTCCGGGGTTGGGCGAGCCATCGCCACAACTCTTGGGTCCGCAGGAGCCTCCGTTGTGTGCAGCGATTTGAGCCCATCTCTGCGACAAGGAGGTTACGAGACTGAGACACTCCCGACCCATGAATTGGTTGCAAGAACGGGCAAAGCCATCTTCAAGAAAACTGATGCGAGTCGACCGGAAGACGTTGAGGCACTGGTGGACGCAGCCGTGAAGGAGTTCGGAAGGCTCGATATGTCAGTGCACTTTCTCATGGCAAGGCCGAGCGTGGATGAGCCGTCGGTTATTTGTTTGCTGACTATTTCTATTTGCGCAAGCTACAGTATGGTCAATAATGCTGGCGTTTTTTGTGGCCAAAACAGGATCGCTGAAGAGCCTGTAGAAGCCTTCGAGAAAACAATGGTAGGCAATCGACTGCTGGCAGGGGAGAGAACCGTTGTGGCTGATAGTGAACAGGCAGTCAATGCGCGAGGTCCATTCCTTGGAATGAAGTACGCGATCGGGCAGATGATGAAGCAAAGTCCCCACCCATCGGGGTCTCGTGGGTGGGTTATCAATATTGCTTCTATTGGAGGTCTTGTTGGTCTACCAATGGAACGTGAGTATACGCATTGATTTGATCTTCCCCAGCGAGTTCCGTGCAATGCAGCTTACACTCTCACTCGTAGCTTCATATTGCGCGAGCAAAGGGGCTGTGGTACTTTTGACCCGGCAAGTTGCGCTTGATTATGCCGCCGACAAAATCCATGTAAACGCCATTTGTCCGGGCTTTCTAAAGACAGCTATGGTACGACCTGCTTTAGAAGACGCGGATCTGAATAAGCAGATACACGGTCAAAGCCCTTGGCCACATTTGGGCACCCCGGAGGATGTGGGGAAAGCTGCACTCTTCCTTTGCAGTGACGCGGCGAGCTGGACGACTGGCGCGATACTGAATGTGGATGGCGGTTACTGCGCTCAATAGCTCTCTTTTACGATGTACATCCTAGTCCATGAGTGGCATTGAGTGAGTGGCATTGAGAACAGAATGTCACATGTAGAGAATATCAAAAGCTGCTACTGACTCGATTTTGTGCTTGAAAAGACCGCGCCACCTTCTGAGGACGCGGACACGCGCGCGGTCGAGAAAAGACATAAGACATCTCGCATGTATGACCATTTGACTATCGTGGCAGACCTTGGACAATAGGATGAGTTACCGACTGCTACATACTATAGTAATTGACTGCGTTAGAATCCCCAGGAGTATAGTCCCTGTGACACAGGGATTTGGAGCCACTGCTGTGACTAGGTAAAAGTATGCCTATTCTTGACAAAAGGAGGAACAGCAACTTTAGACATAGTTCGTTCTTCTCGGGAATTGAGTTCGCATTCTTGGGAGCGCTGCCCATGAATCTGCCAATTGTGCACGATTGGAAATGATGTGAGAACGAGGATACCACAGTAAGACAGTAGTCAATCCACCATGGCACGGCTGCCACCATGATAATTCGTCGCAGTACGCAGCATCAAAGATCCTTGTATCCACTTTTTACATCCCTTACAAAACTTATTGGATCTTTCAAGTCCACCCAACCGCAGTATGGACTCGAGACCGAATATCCAATCATTCTCTGGATGCTCTCCGGCATTTTCTTGACCTCCTCTATCGGGTTTGCGAGGAATTGATTCTCCTCCTAGCGACTGATTAGTTTTACAAACAGCAGGACGACAACTCTAAACACACCTGGCGGAGATACCCACGGCACACAAAGGATCCGAATAGCTTTCGTGTTTGGTCTGTGGTTGTATTTGCAGAGCCTGGGGGTCACAAATGAGTATGCACTGTGAAAAGCAGTTGTTTGAGGGGCCTAGATCGTTTTACCTCCATGAAAACAACTCGCGAGCATCAGGAACACGTCTCCGGGCTCCATCTCGGCGTAGACGACCTTGCTTTCATCGCCTGGTCCATAACCTGAGGCGTCCAAATGCGAGCCAGGAATAAATCTTGTCGCTCCGTTAGCGACTGTTGTTTTCGACGCCGCGAGGAATATCCCGAGTGCCGTATCGCGATCCTTGGTGTACTGGTCAGAAGTGATCTTGGGGAGTTTGGTGTGGTGTATGCTATCGTCACGGTGGAGTTGTTGCGCTCGAGCTCCCGGTCCGATTGCCAGTACAGACGTTGAGTTCAGGTAAGGTGGTGAGACATAGTGTTCTTGCTTATCACCAATCCATGTGCTCGTTCTGGTGGTGAGAAGGTCATTGCTGACTGCGGTGATCAGAGGATGACCAAGGACTTTTTCTGTGTATAGGGGTGACTTTGCTGGTAGCCCGTTCACTCCTGTTTGATTTTAGCATAACGCTCAATACTGTCCCATGACCTACCTACGGCGAGTCTCTTTCGGGAAAAAGTCGCCTTCCCATGGCACATCTGCGTCGAGGTAAGGTTGAACGTCATTGAGCATTGCGTCGATACTCTGCTGGTCTATCATGCCTCGGAGAAAACAACCTCCATTCCTGATCAAAGATTCCACAATCTCTGCCTGTGTGACAGAGCTTGCATTGAAGCTTTCAACGCTGTAACAGCTCGCAGGCGCCGGCATCTCGACTCTGGAAGACATCCTCGTCAGAGGAAACCCACGATAGACAGGGTAAAGGAAGAATTATATGCAAATAAGTGGTCAATTTCGTCTGAGCCATTCGAAGTTCAGGAAGTGTCTTTCTGAGGTGGTGAGACTGCCAAGTCGCCCACTGAACTGCCCCCGTTGTCGACTGCCCGATCCAGGGCGCGCCGGCGGTTCCGCCGGCAATCGAGGCTATCTCTTCCCTTATCGCATGGCTCATCCGGGGAAAGCTAAAAAAAATCTGTCCCCTACGGAATGTCGGCATATGCATTATTCGCCTGTTGCTAATGGTTTCGCTTCAAATGTGTCGGAGAGGCCGATGTTGTCGTGATCGATAAGGGAAAGAAAGGAAACCCCAAAAACGCGATTTTAGAACTCGGCCGCCGGAAACAATCCAATCTTCTCACACGCGGTTGTGGCGAGTCACGGCGAACATTAGCTGCCACTTGGTTGAGGCGGCGTTTTTCAGGGGTCCCTCACCCAATGTACGCGACAAGCACCTTGGTGGACATCATTGCATATAGATGGACTACCCTGAAGACCGTCCTTCGGGTGGCAAATGAATTTGAAGATACCAATTGACTAGGATCAACGTACGCGAAGGCACGACGGAAATCATCCAGATCGACGTATATATACGACCGTACATACGATCACACATATAGTACGACAGCACGCCCTGCCAAGGATCGTGGCTTCCCGAATTGACTCAAAGCGAGTGAAAACCTCGGCACCATTTCAAATATTCACAATGAACGCAGGTGAAGAAGACGACAGGAACAGACCTCCCCGAAGTCACGGTCTTTGACAGCGCTTCGGTGACGAACGAAGAAGTCGTTGCCGCTCTCATTTCAGCGGGCGGTTGCGTCATCAAAAATGCTATGAGCACAGAAGATTTGGCGGCGATCGAGAAGGACACCCGCATACATCTCCTCGCAGACAAACCTTGGGATGGCACTTTTTTCCCGATTCAAACCCGGCGTGTGAACGGTCTTGCCTCTAAGTCCAAGATCTTTATGGAAAAGTTGGTATGCTACCAAGCGTACCAAGACGCCTGCGACACGCTTCTAACCAGCCGGGTGAGTAACTGGGTTGGCGACGTGCAAGAACACAGTACCTCGAAGCCACAGCTCAACAACACCATCGTGTTCTCTATCGGCCCGGGGGCAAAAGCACAGCCTCTCCATCGCGATGACATGATCCACCACCGTGTCAAGGAAAGAATGGAATCTTCACATTATACCATCGGCCAGGACAGTGCTATAGGATTTCTCGTCGGAGGTAAGAAGACCACCAAAGCGAATGGGGCCACAAGATTCATTCCTGGCTCGCATCTATGGAAGCACGACACTCCACCAGCAGAAGACTTGTGCGTCTATGCCGAGTTGGAACCTGGGGATGGCTTCATCATGCTTGCATCCTGCTATCACGGTGGCTCCGCAAACACGACAACGGATCAAGAGCGTTTGGTTTACAGTTGTTTCATGACAAAGGGATATCTCAGACAAGTACTGAATGCTCCATACTCAACCCCAACTTTTGCTGCAGACTGACATGATCGCGAACAGGAAGAGAATCAGTATCTCAACAATCCGCCCGAAATACAATCCTCGTTCTACAATGACGAGATGCTGAAGCTCATTGGCTACAATCTCAGCGCACCATTCTTAGGCTGGATTAAAGAGGGACATCCTTTGGCTGCTCTTGGTAGGGCACAGCCTCTGGGAGATATGTACTAGACACGCCGAGTACTTCTCTCCATGGTCGATGAGGAGGCTTTGGAGACAGACCGGGGAGATGGCCGCAAAGTCAATCTATAAAGCTATGCTGCTTCCTTCTCCTGCTTCTTCTGCGTCTGCGAAAAACTCATCTATCGTCCTGAATGTGAGCCCGTTGAAATACTTTTCTCGCTGCATTGCCAACTTTTCCTGAGGTAGGAAGCCGGCGCCCGAAATGCTCCAAAGTTCATACTGCGCAGCTATGACGTCCTCGCTGGTCGCCGCATCGGTCTCCTGTTGCTCTATGACCTTTCTAGGTCGATGGCTGACTCTCAGCGCTGTGCCCCTAGCTTTGAATTTCTCGGCGACAGTATTCCAGGTTGTCGTCTCGCCGCAGACGTAGATGGTCGGTTCCCACGCCGGAAATTCGAAGAGACGGACGATAGCCTTGGCTGCATCCCGGACAGGTGTAAAAGCGACCTTTTCGTTGCCAGTGCCAGGGATTCGGATAGTTCCAGCGGCAAGATTTACGGGATGATTTTCGCCAATGTCCTTTATGTACCGCTGCGATGCTGGAACAAGATAGTCGGTCAACCAGCCGAGATTGAACAATGTCCAGCGTACCTCGGTCTGTTCGCGCAGCGCTTTCCGTACTGGCTCGTGGTTTGCATGATAGAAGGTGGGTTGGTCAGGATAGTCGTCCGTGTTGCCGGCATACTCGGAGGGGATGAATGACTTGCACTTCGGAGACTGCTGGCAGGCCTCGAGAAGAGCAAGATGGGCGGTGGTGAAGCGCAAGGTATAGTCGAGAATTGCGGAGATAAGGGCATCACAGTCGGACAAGGCCGAAGCCAGTGTGGCCACCGAAGCGTAGTTGACGGTGCGAAAGGTGATGTCTGACCGCATGAACCAAGTAGGTTGCGAGCGTGAAAGGACGACCACATCATGTCCAGCGAGGAGGAGCTCTTCGGTAAGGTACTTGGCCAAATCGCCAGCACCCGCAATAGCGATTTTCATTTCTTGTGATGTGCTTGTTGGTTAGAGACAGGAGCGTTAGTGAACGCACACCTTTATTCAAGCAAGCTGTGCATGCTCTTGAAGAAATAAAATCATTGCTCATATGTTCAGACACGGCATGACCAACCAGGGCTGTCGTTGTGATTCGTTCGTGGGGAGTTTGTGCGTGTTAGCCTGTCTCTGCGTTCGGCTGAGTTCGCCGCTGTTGGCTGCCACATTCGTCCAAGCCCAATCTGGCGTTGTCGACCTTATCAGCTCCTTCTCGGGTGGCGGCTCGAAAATACGCTGCAAAACTATGTCGGAAGAGAACGACGCGCAACATTTGCCCCAGCGTGAATCTGTGTTGATACGGAAACCAACAGCGATGTTGCAGGAATGCATCGATGCTCCCCAAGATGATTTTAGTGGCTTCCAATTTGTGATGTTGGAGGTGGACTCCGTTTATGATATAACAGACCCGTGTGTTCTCTAATCCAATTGTCCTTGATCATCAAGCTCTGCTCATCTCTCCCGACAACCCTACGTGTTCCTAAGACTGGCCTCCCTCTTCTTTCCAACCATTACGCAACTAGCCCACAAATCAACCGAAATACACCGATCATGCCGGAATATGAATCACCACTCAATGCCCATGGATTCCGCTGTGTCAATAGCCCCGGTCTGGGTGAAAAGCTCTCCTCTCTCCTCCATATTTCTGGCGCAATCATCATCCCGCCCAACGCCTCCACCGCGGTGACGTCCGGACAGACTGGATACTCCGCCGACATGACCTACCCAAGCGACCTCAAGGAAGAGGTCATGAAAGCGTTCCAGAACGTCGAAGACCAGTTACTGGCTGCCGGGGTCGAGGACGGGTTCAGATCCGTGTATAGGATGACCACTTACCACACTGAAATGGGTGACGGTATGACGGAGGCCTTAGATGCGGCAACGGAAAAGTATTTTGGCAAGAATAGACCAGCATGGGCAGGTGTCGGCGTCACCGAGTTGTATGGCGGAGCTAGGATTTAGATTACTGCCATGGCTGTCCTCGCTTCCAAGAGTCGTTAGCATGCCTGGAGCATCTTTGTACTAGTCAGTTAATGATTGTTTGCCATCATATGACAATTGCCGCACTCATTTCATCCGGCAGGGGGCAGACCACGCCAAACTGGTATTGCTCGATCGGCAAAGGGGATCTGGGGGCCGTGGTGGGGATACTAATTGTGAGTCCGAGCGGACAAGAGGGTCAACGAAAGGTGTGCGCCGGTGCGGACAGAGGAGAAGCGAGCGAGGACCAAAGGTCACCATCAAGCTGAGATCAGGCTAAGAGGAAAGTTTGAGAGTGTGGTAGTACCGAGGCAGGCTGAGTCGCAACCGTAGGCAAGCCTCAAGGAAATGTCAGAACGGCTGAGATTGTGGTAGAAGACAAACCGTTCAGCAAATAGATGCCAAAGAATGGGACTTTTGGGGGAACAGCGACACGGTCGTCACAGGCTCTCGATTTCGAGCTATAATTAGTCCTTCTCCACCGAGCTCCTCCTGGGGGTCAGGTTCTTCCTCAAAGCAACCTCTTCCGTGGCCTCTTCATTTTCCAACGTCGTCGGACTAAATCCAGCCCAAAAATTCCTTGTAGTTGGACATTCCAACACAGACCGCGGCCCTTCAGAACGCCGTCCTCAGCCTCATCCTGATATTATTCTTGCATCTACTGCAGAAGCCTGCCATCGTAATTGGGAACCTGCCATGGGTGGCCACGTATATCACCATATCCCGATTGATTCTGACTAAATTCTTCTGTCAGCCCAAAATTGGACTCGTTACAGCAAAGTTATTGATTGCCTGACCGGAATTATCAATTGGTTTGGATTTGGGTGTGGTGTACAATACTAATGTCATCAGCAACACAGGACGGCGAAATTTCGTGGGAGACGGTTGGATCGCGCTTGCTCACCCTCCCTCTTCGCACTTTTGAGCATGATTGCACATTTTATCACGAACAGTGAGTTTGAACGGTTCACTTTGCACTGTGCAAGCGATGATGCGCTTGTGGTAAGTCTCCAGAGATGGCCAAAGCTCTTGTGCCGTGCTCTGATTTGCGATTGCTTACGCTCTATGGAGACAGGACAAGCCAATCTCCTTGCAAGTGCTCCTGTCAGTGCAGGAGCAGTCGATCGATTAATGGAAGCTTTCCAACACTTTCCAATGAGTTCTTACGCTTCTTCGAAGCTTTAAGACATTTCTTCCTTCTCTTGATTTACTAGAGCCTTTGTCCCAGCCCATATACCCCTTGACATTCATGCAGTCGTCGATTAGTGCTCGACCTTGTTGACTATCTCATTCCACATATAGCGGTTTTCCACCATGCATCCACCCCAGTCCGCTCTGATAATACATGCCTACCATGAAAGCGGCTCTAGCTTTCCAAGTCATTGGCGTCCACCCAGTTTCCATGAAGACCGGCTCTCAGGCGAACCGGAAGATAGATCTTCGCCAATGGCTTGCTGAAATCCCCAGTATCCACAAGATGTAACTCTGAAGACATGGACTCATAGTTGTTCACCAAGAAAAGTAGATAACCATCCCCCTCGTTCGCGTCCTTAGATTTAGCGATGAAAACGGTCTCCTGGACCAAGTGTGTTGCACCGGGGAAGTACCTGTCGAATTGTCGTGTTTTCACATTCAGCCTGGCGATTGAATTGTAGGGGGGAAAGCCGCCACCCATCCTTGACCCTACCGTTGGCCAGTCTGTTGGGAGAGTGTTATCCTTGAGACTGAAGAATGCATAAGTATACTCCCGCGTAAGGTATTTGTCGTCAATCCGGGGAAACTCGCAATCTTCTTGAAGTAGAGCTTCGGCTGGGGCCAGATTAAGACAATCCGCCGTTGGGTCGATCTTGAAGCGGAACATATGGGCGGTGATTGCATGCGGGTCTGGGGCATTACCATGCGCGTCTGGCCACCAGAAAAAGACATTCTTGTCACTCACTGGGAGATCCATGATGATCTTCCCATCTTGCTCATATGCGTTGCAAATGTGGCCAGGAAAGGCATTCGGAGCGCGAAACCACTTTTTGGAATTAGACAAGTCGAGTTGAACATTAAGAGCAAGCTTCTCACTTTGACATCGGATCCCTTCGCCCCACGCCGTGGCAGTACTCCAATATAAAATGGAATATCCGGGTTCCATTGCCAATGTTCTCCCCCGCTTTTCATTCGATCGAGATCACACGTCTGTGGTATGAGGGGGAATATGACCTGTTCGCGTTATGTTAGCGGCCACATTGGAAGACGCGCATTCGCTGATATCACAGACCCAATTCTCCGTCACCGCGAAATCGTGAATCATGGCAACCACTGGGCTGACCAGCCACACAACTTCATTGAACTTTCCCGATGGGCCAACTGAGAAATAGCAGATGTCAGGTGTCCCATCACCCTTAGCTTCATAACCGAAGCAGAGTAATTCTTTTGTGGCAGGATCCAGTTTTGGGTGAGCAGTGAAAGTCAGACTGGGTAATTGCCCGTCGAAATCGTAGAGTCCGGTTGTTTCAAGAGTGTTTGGATCAAGTGCATACGGAGGCGAATCTTCTTTGCAGGCTAGTAAACGGCCGTTGAAATACACAACATTGGTATTGGCCGTACTTCGAACTTTGAACTCAACGGCGTCGGTGTACTTATTTCTGTACTTGCCTTGGGTCTAAGCGTCAGTATCACGACACATCGCTCGTAGAGAGTATAACGGTTTTCTGCTTGATGCAAAGGGAAGCGTACCGAGTAATGCTCGCTGCGCCTCACGTTCTTTGACGAATTTCTCAGTGCGAACGTAGCGTTGTTTGAAATGCACTCTGCCTGATTCGATTCGGAAAGAGCTGATATTGCCATCGCCATTGAACCACTGCCAAAAAAAAAGAGGCTCCCGTCAGTCACGGTGCACCATGTCGATATGTGAGAAGTTCGTACCGGATCGTTTTCCACTCGGGGAGGTAGTTGGGGATCGGGCATTACTCGATAAAATGTTCCACGCACTTCTGGCGGAATCGTCCCAATGACCTCAAGATTCAGGGTTTCTCCTTCAAATCGACACGGTTTCATAAACTGTGAGAATTGCGGAAGTGGAGGGAAAGCCTGGGACTGTGCCATGCCTTTGAATCGATTCTGGAATGGCTAAAACTCGAGTGCTCGGTGTTGTTCAGTACGTTATATCGCAAGGCTTCACTGTGTATCATAAGAGGAACATCGTAGTAAAACCCGTCGCATGAACAGATCGTTTACCCGATGATCAGTTGCAGTCACGGCTTTTAGATACGGCAAGTGAACGGATGATCGGTACACAGATGTGTGGAACATTAATTAGATTCTCCAAACACTAGCTGTAAAGGCTGCACCCGATGCTTCCCCGATGCTACTGGTCGATCTTACGGACGTACACTCCACCAATGTCCAGGCTCCTCATTTGTGGAGTGCGGAGGCGGCAAAATCCTCGGAAGTTGACCTATCATACAAGATACAATTACCAAGTCTCCTACAACAATCGCAGAGACTGCTTGCTTGACCTACGCACGCCTCGGATCGAGCACTGCTACAATGATGGCTTGGCCTACTTCCAATGATCGACCATGACTGGTGTACAAATAGTATCTTGTGGGCTGAACTCCTCTCCGCCTCAGCACTTCCCTAGATTCTCGGCCGCCGTGTTTTACTGCAGAACAGAGCCTCGAAGTTATTGTAGCCAGTTCGTCACGTTGCAAGCGATTTGCACGATATGGCGAGCATATTATTGCTGCTTGGCAATCTCGTCGGGCTTTGGGTTCTATGGAAAGTAGCTGAAGCCGTCTACAATGCATTCTTCCATCCATTGCGCAAGTTTCCAGGACCTTTCGAAGCAAGACTCAGTCGTTGGTGGCTCTTCTGGCAGGAGATGCAAGGATTTTCTCACCAAGTTATCCAAGAACTGCATGATCGTCACGGTATGTCCAAAACGATGTGCACCGCCCACTGACGACTTCTAACATGTTCTAGGCAAGGTTGTCAGGATCGCACCTAACGAATTGTCCATCGATGATGTGGATGCCAATGCCGTCATCTATGGTCAAGGAACCAAATTTCGCAAGGCGCCATACTTCTACAGAGCTTTTGAAGGGGATGCTCCGAACCTCTTCACCCTGACAGATAGAGAAGCACATCTCAAGGACAAGAAGTTGATGTCCAACGCTTTCTCTCGCGCAAGCATTTTAAAATTCGAAGAGGTGATGGCGTCCAAAGTGCAGACTTTGATGGTCCGCTTGGGTCAATACGTTGAGGCCAATAAGCCACTTCCTCTGATGAACGCCTTTCGCTCCTTGACCCTGGACACAATCACGGAGTTCTGCTACGGGGAATCCATGGGGGCATTACATGCCGAGAACCTTAATATTCCGCTATTCGAATCTTTTGATCTTGCAACAAGGGCCATTATATTCGTGGGTTATACCCTCCTTCTGCTTAGATGAACCCTGGTTTGACGGTGAATGTCCTTACAGTTCCAACATTTCCCTAGTCTACGCCAGCTGAGTCGTTGGGCCCAACGTTACAACTTGCCCGGGACTCTGAAAGGGTTTAAGGGTATGGAAGAGGTCAGTGTCATATATCAAAGTACCCCGTCGGATGAAATGGCTCAGGGACTCATGGCCCCAGGCAGCTGTTGCAGGCGTGCATTCGATCAAGGCGCGACGAAAAAGCGGCGAAGAAGCTCGAACCATGTTTCAGGGTATGTTCCACAGCGCCGAAGAAAAGCAGATCAACTTGAGCGACGATAACCTGGTATCCGAGGCCATTTTGATGAACTTTGCCGGTAAGAATGACCTTTTCCTCCTTACCATCGAATTGTAGCCAAGCAGAAGCTAACTTGACTCGATCTAGGCACCGACACAACTGCCGCAACCTTGGCTTTTGGTCTTCACAACCTTATCAGACGACCAGAACTGTATCACAAACTCCAAGATGAGCTGTTGAGAACGCAGAAGGCAAATGCCGGGGTGAGATTGACGTACATGCAACTTGAAGGTATTGAGTTGTTGGACGCGTGCTTAAAAGAAGCCCTTCGAATAACATGCCCCGTCAGCGGAAGGCTACCGCGGACAGTGCCCGCTGATGGTTGGAACTATCAGGGTCATTATATCCCAGCAGGAGTGAGTAACCACGAAAGTAGCCTCTTTTGTTTGCTTATATGTAAATCAGAACATCGTCGCTGCCTCTCCGTACACTGAGTGTTACGACAAGGAGGTGTTTCCTGACCCCAAAGAGTATCGACCTGAGAGATGGCTGGTGGAGGACACGACAGAATTGCAGAAGTACTTCCATCCATTTTCACGAGGTGCCCGATCCTGTATCGGTCAAAAGTAAGTGCTCCTGATTCTAGTCCGGCCTCGAGCCCTGTCATCGTATCTAGAATCCCTAACAATTGGTAGTCTTTCACTTATCGAGCAAAGACTTGCTTTTGCCTATTTCGTTCTCAACTTTTCTCCAAAATCGGTTGTCGATCCCAACCCGGTTTTTAAGCAGTTCAACACCCTCATATCTCAGTCCGATCTTAGCGTGTTTGTGGAGATGAATGGCCCCTAGCATGCAGTGTTGATATCAATAGGTTGGCCTTGGAATGCACTGGAGTTGATAGCCGTCTCGGATATTGTCCGTTGTATCAAATGCAATGGCTACGAGAGATGGAGAAGAGATGCCATCCAAGTCACCAAGCAGCTTCTGAAACGCCTTTGAAGCCGTCAAGGTCTCCTAAATTTGACTTTCAATCTGGCGGTTCGTTGGGAGCAAATCATTTTCCATTGCAAGGGCCCCCCAACGGCTCACCCAGCAGTCCAACATGACGGATGCGTCAAGAACAAAGATACTGGCGGGCTTGTTGTAGGTTTTCAGATCCAAGGCGGCTGTTGGCGGCTGTTGGCGGCATCCAAGCAACATTGGCAATCCTTCATCCGTGGGTGCAAAATGTGAGCTTTTCCTAGGAAGGAGGAAACACACAACCACCTGCTAGGTAGTCTTCACGAAGTGCTTGACCTATTCTGCAGACATGTTTCGATTCTACAAAACATCTGTAACTGGGCCCGGTGCTAACCAATATGGGGGTAATCAATGGAGTAAGACGACAACTACGCTAGGAAGTGTGTCGAAGTTGATGCCAAACTCGGCCTTCAGAGTCTCCAGCCTCCATGCAGGCCCGGAGTCGGCGAACAAATAAACCGACGTTAGGGAGAGAGGGGGGAAGTCAACCCCGTTTCCCCATGTGATAGGGCGAGGGGCCTTGCCATGCATCTGGAATCGCTGGTATGTTTGGCTCGACAGCCCCGCAGCGCAGTGTAGGACATTCGTTTCCCCGTACTGTGTACTCCGTACGGTGGCTTCCATACTCCATAGGCGGGTAATACTGTACTTCATACTCCACAGGTGGATGCTCCTTCCTAACAACCTTGGCTCTGTCAAGCGGCTTGTCCCACTCCCGACAAAAACGGCCTGCACGAGCAGCAGACCACTGAGGGCGCTACGACCAAAAAAATCACTGAGATTCGGGTGTAACGATACCCGATTTTCCCCCGGAAGGAAGGCAGAGGGTTGGTCCTGATCACATTTCAAGCTGTAACCCGGCCTTTTCATCTTCACCGTGCTTTGCCGGGCCCACCGGCTATTTCCCCTGCTCTTTGCCCCAGTGGGCTAAGATGGTCTGAACTTGCTTCTTGAGATGGTATATCTTGCCCAAAGGTAAGGCCACGGCCTGTAGTGTGCAAGAATACGGCTCTCGAATCCCTAGCCACGATAACTCGCACAATGGAGAAGCTCACCAGCAAACGCGTTCTCCCTGCCGGTTTCGACGAGAAGACGTTCGACCAGGCTTTGGACGCTCTCTCTCTAGTTGTAGGTGCCGACAACGTCTCGCGTGATGGCTCGCACGGCAGCGTTGAAGGTCCGAACGGGGAGAAATCATATGGAGATATTTGGCCTTTGGCGAATCCCACGGACCATACACCCAGCGGTGCAGTTAGACCTGCCACGGTTGAGGATGTCCAAGGCGTGCTCAAGGTCGCGAACCGTTACAGACTGCCGTTGTGGACTGTATCACGGGGGCGGAATCTAGGGTACGTGTTGTTCCTCCCCATGTGCTCTCAATGACACTGAGCGACCTCGGTCCAGTTACGGCGGAAGTGGCGCTGTCGTGCGAGGAACTGTGGTTCTGGACTTGCAACGAATGAACAAAATCATCGAAGTGAACGAGGAGCTCGCCTACGCCATCGTTGAGCCGGGAGTATCCTTTTTCGACCTTTACAACTACATTCAAGAAAGGGGTTACCGCCTCTGGCCATCCTGCCCGGCACTTGGGTGGGGTTCAATCGTGGGCAACACGCTTGACAGAGGATTTGGCTACACGCCAGAGGGTGAACATTCGCAGCAACAGTGCGGGATGGAGTTAGTCCTGCCATCGGGTGAGGTAGTCAGAACTGGGATGGGCGCATTCACGGGCAGTCCAATGTGGCCATTATACAAAGGGTGACATGCCCCAACCCCTTTCTCCAGGCGTGATCTAACCTGGATCAGTGGATACGGGCCTAGCGTAGATGGCCTCTTTTACCAGTCCAACCTAGGTACGCAAGTCTGAAGCAGTCCGCTGAAGTGCCATTCTGACCGTTGAATTAGGCATTGTCACCAAACTCGGGATTCACATTACCCCAGCACCTGTCTGCTTTATGGACTGTGAGATTAGTGTGCCGCACGAAAGTCAGCTCGGGCTCTTGATCAAAACCGTGGGGACTCTTGAACGAGAAGGAGTCGTTCAAAACCACACATCCATCGCCAATCCTTACCGTCAAGCACTGTTATGACAAGACAAGGATGCCCTGCAGCGAGTGTTCGGCCCTGGCATGCAAGGAAGTTGTGCCTCCAATAGAGACCTGACACTTCTTGCGCATGAGGCAGGGTTGGGCTACTGGAAGGCGTCGTTTGCCATATACGGATTCTCTCCCATTGTTCTGGATGCCCAATGGAGCATTGTTCAGGAACGATTTGGCGCTTTGCCGGGAGCGATCTGTACATGCCAACGATATGAGAACAAAGACGGTGGGAGACGGGATGCCTCAAAACTGCCTTTGGCTGAAATCCCCCATGCTGGGACACTTAACATCGTTGCTAAAGAATTAATGAATGTCCGCGGCCCAGGTGGTGGGCACATCTGCTTTTCCCCCCTTTTCTCGTCGGACGGCATGGAGCTGCAAGAATGGTGGACCAGGGCACGAGATATAGTCGAGAACGCACAGTTCGACGTATTCTCAGACTTCCATGTCTACGGGCGCTACGTCATCGCTATTCTGCTTGTCGTGTATGGGCCCAATGAAGGGCCAAGAGCCAGAGTCATGTTTGAACAACTTCTGGAAGATGGAAGAGAAAACGCGGGCGTCTCGGAGTATCGGGCTCACATCGACTATATGGATGAGGTTAGAAGCCATTTCAACTTCAACAACGGCGCGCTCAATCGCTTGGTTGACACAATCAAGAACACGCTTGATCCAAATGGTATCCTATCCCAGGGTAAATCAGGGATTTGGACATATCTCAAGAAGCCCAACTTGCAACGAGCAGGCCCGAAATCACTCAGGCATTGTACTTCAAACACGCCGTCGAAGAAAAGCGAAGAATTTCCTTGAAGATTGCATGATCAAACTCTCGAACGATATGCCCCTTATCTAGTCGGACGTCCTACCTTGTATCTAGATATGTCGGCGCAGGATGATCTTCCTGCAAGCATGGTATAAGCAGCCGGTGGGAACAATATCATCAACATTGGACAACTCGAGCACAAGGAGATGATGTAAAGGGGTGAAGCAACTGAGTTTGGTTTCATGCACAAAGGTCCTTACTTGAACAGAGCTAGCACTTAACTAAACTTATAAACATACCTACCCGTAAATGATGATCTTGGTCCCCTATTCGTGTGGATGTTGCGGGTGTGCGGTAGGCGTGGGATGTAGATGTTGGCCAGTGGTCTCATTCCCAGACTGCGATCTAGACATATCCACAGGCCTTGCCGCCTTGCTCCTAATATATGGCTAACATTGAGATCGTCATCTGCGACCTCTGCGACCTCTACAGGTTGTTCGAAGAGGTATGTAGGTAGATACAATCGTACTGGCCATTGTAAGATACGAGAAGAGGATATCGACCTGTCAGCATCTAAGCTGCTAGAGATATTCATAAGATTAAATCACGTGTGGTTTTGACAGTAAAGGTCGAAAGTGTTCTAAGCCTAAGGCAAAGGTCGTCTCTAGTATTCTATCGTCTCCTAGGCACTTCCCTTTAGATATCTAGATATACAACAAGTTTTAGATGTTGCATGGAACAATCAGATAAGTGGCCTTGCCGCATATACCGGCCGTCACTTCTCCCATAACCAATATCTTATGCTGCTTTATTTAACTCCTCGTGGTGATGCTTAGCATGAAGTTCCTCGACGGGCGCATCGACATGATAATTCATTGTCTTGCGCATGTCACCCAAGAATAGACAGCCAGTACAAGCCAAAGCACCAGAGGGCGTTGCAATAATGTATACAATCCACAATGAGTCCGCGAAAGCGTGCTTCAGCGCCGCAACCCCTTGCGCAATTATTGCCGGGGAGACTCCAGGAATGTTGGCAAGTTTCCCTGTCTCACTAGATGCAAGCGCTTCAACAAAAGCTGGAATGGACGAGGCGGGAAGGCCCGCCACGCCAGCTGCCTTTGCGACGTACCCAGGAAGCTTTTTTGCAATGCCGGCGTCGAAGGCTGCTGCGTAAATGGCAGTAAATATTGCTGCAGCAATTGCTCTAGATGAGGTGGTGACAGCCGTGGCAATCAGTCCGTGGAGTAGACAACTGAACGCCGGCGACAATAAGAATGAGCGGAGAGCCATAACCTATGCCAGAAAGGCCAGCAAACACAAGTTGATTGGTTGATTGATTCGGTTGGACGGTAGCAAGGCCGACTGCACCAGCGGTGTACAGTAAAAAGCCGAGGAACAGTGGTTCGCGAACCATTTGCAATCTGGTACTTGTGTATCCCCACACTACGGTTGCGAAAAGACCGGCGACCCAATATGGCATCGCACGGGCAACCACAATGAATGGGTCAGTTTCAAAGAGTGAAGAGCTCCTATAAGTGATTAGTGTAATTCTTCAGGAGTTACTGGTAAATGTTCAGACTTACATGACTGGGTAAAAGATGATGAAGGCGAAGAGCAAGATACCTTCGATGAATATAAGGGCCACCAAAATTCCAAACGATCGGCCTCTTGCTTTTCCGCCTCGAAACAAATCATGGTGTAGAATACCGGTCCTGGTACCTTTCCATTCATAGATGCCGAACGCAATGAGGACGACAATACCGATGATCAAAGTCGCCAAGGTATGAACGTTTCTCCAGGTGTACAAACCGCCACCTAGATTTGCCCCTACCAGGAACACAGTTAACCCGCTGGTAAGTAGTGCAAAACCTGGCAGATCGAGGTGGCGGAGCTTCTGCCAGAAGGACAAATGGTCAAGCCTCGTCTGTCTCTTGGGCGGTCTGTGCCAACGAAGATACTGATAGCTGTTGCTCCCCAGAGAGCCATCTGAAACCAGTAAAACTTACGCCAGCCATCTGCCATGTTGGACTTCGTAAAAGCACCTATTATCAAGGGACTTGAAATAGCACCAAAGCTTGCAAAGACGTTGATGCAAGCCTGCGCCATAGGCCTCTCACTTACGGGGAAGGATTCGCTAGGCACACAATATCCAAGGGGCACGGATGCTCCGAAGCCCCACTCCGATCAGAATTTGTGCAACGATGAGTCTGTATATGTTGCCAGAACCTGGTGCGATTACAGAGCCGATGAATGAAACGATGCAAGAGCCAACGAGAAGTGTTTTTCGCGCTTGGAATGTATCCAAAGCTGAGGCGAAAACGGGCCCCAGTACAGCTTGCATCAGAGTAAGTGCGTTTGGCACCCAGGTCTGTGTTTTTGTACCATTGAGATCAGTGCCGATGTAAGAGAGCTGGTAGCAAGTCAGTTGGCGATGTGTCTCCCAAAGAAGTGAACGACAGAAATCTCACTCACAACTGCAGGAGGGCCTTGAAGAGCAACAAGCTGAACCATGCTTAGCATGCACATGACAGCCAAAGCGACCAGGTTCGCACATGAATCTCTGGCTCCTCAAAATCATCATCATATACGAGGTTGTTCTGCGAAATGGGAGCTTCCTCTAGGTGTTGTCCTTTGATTGAAACTGCCGTCTTCTCGTCGTTGGTTGATTGTGGCTCTGGCGCGACACCTGGCGCTGTGTAGCCGACAATGTCGTCTTCTGCATGATGAGAATCCATCCGTGGTCGCTCTTCGCTGCATTGACTGGAACTTGCTTTCCGGACTTGAGATCATACTCCGTTGCAGTTGATTAGCTCTGACCTGGTTTTTCTATCTCAACCGTGCTTTAGCGCCCGGGTGTAGTTCGTGTATAATTCGGCCCCCCTGGCCAGCTCCACGTTCCCCGTCCGACGTGTTTTTAAGTGGAACATAGTTTTGGCGGAGAGACACATCTGGGGTGAACAAAGGATCGCGAGTCGATAAGTTTCTGAGGGACTTTGGGCTTATTATTCGACCTTGGCATTAGAAGTCGGCATCTCTTGTGTTGTAGAGAGACTGGGGAGTGCGGGGAAATAACGGAAAGCCGAGACTTTCTGTCTGTTGGCAGAGGCGCTCGGACGAGCCTTTGCTCTCCGGTAACTTACAAGGGGAGAGAAGTTCGTCGGGTACCCCAAAAAATGCACCATGGGGAAACCCCCGGACGGGTTCCCGAAGCAGGACCCTATCAGTTTTGTATAAGTGGAATCCCCAACCTAGGCATAACTTTCTCATCACAGGTCCCAACATGCTGGATATCATGGTGATGACCTGGCCGGCTCTCCTTTTTTTCTCTTCTTAATCCGGACTTTCTCCGCCTGGTAGTGCCGTATCTCGCGTGGCAATCCCACTAGTTATAGTGTGCCCCGGAAGTATGCAGGCGCACTGACATGACGTTCAGCAATGGACTGTCTCAACGACGAACAACACTTCCTGTCAAGATGCTTCTTGAATAAGTCTGGGTAATTCTCGCAAGCTGCCATATTTCTCCCTTCACCTGAGGGGTTTCAATCCATTTCAAGCGGAGGATGAGGCTAGACCGTAAGTCTGCGCATGTCAGCGCTTTAGACGGGTCTCCCAAAATGACGGTAGCGGAAGGTAAGCATGGCAAGCACGGTTGTACCATACAGGGCGGTCCATTATGAAATTCAGCATAATTTGTGCTCATCGAAACCTATAGGATATTACTCATTCTATGTACCATGGCCATATAGGAGCAGTTCGAATCCAGGGTGGACCGCGTTTTTGTGGCATAAGCGATCACGTCGACCTCGCGGGTGACGCCGGTCTAATCCGGGTCTTTTGGGCACTTTGACGTTTACTAAGTGCCTTATTCGCCTTTCGAAGTGAGGAGATTTCATTCTCGAGGAGAGCCGGTGTATTACTTGCTGTGCGCCCTTCGCAGTCTACTACCCTGCTCGATGGTACCCCTCGGAGAGTACCGTGGTTTTTTGTACGGTAGGTACCATCGAATCTTTTGTCTTTCACACAAACGACATTTTCTGTGCCCGCCAGATGCACTACTTTTCCAGCCACGACATTGTGAGGCTGGCTGTTCTTCCAATTCTCACCAGCCCCCGAAGCCAATCATTCTTACTACAGTACTGCATCAGAGCGACAAGTCACCTGTTTGACACGCCCAAAAATCGTGGGAAACAGTATTCACCATCGAAGCAAGAGTTCATCCCAATTCTCCCAGACAGAGAGCGAGTCTTGGCCCGAAGATCATCTTGAAAGGCGGGCGCCGCCTTCTTCAGTATTCGAGACCGCGTGTTTAGGTCTTCATTCATTGACCCCTCTTCGCCTTGCCCTTTGACCACCAACCGGCTCGGTCAAAGAAACGAAAAGATGATCGAATCCTGCGCCCAATGGTCATCTTGGCCTGCTCGCTGTTGCCGAATATATTCAGATCCCAGAATGCTTGCCATTGCCGTAGTCTAGAAGCCGATGCCAAAGAGGGTTGAATCGGGAAGAGAGCGTCCAAGAAGGACGTCAATTGGTGTCGTTGTGCAAGAGTCACTACGGCTTCCTCCAACGGCGTCAGAGTTTCAGGGCCAAAATCCTCTGGCAGATGGGGAGCCGCGGAGGCCGGCTTTATTTCAAAGACGTTGAATGCCTGAAGGACGTGGCTGCAGGCTGCAAGGTCCGCAAGAGCTCTGCGAGGGGAAAGATGAGCTTTGTCTTTGAGGTTACTCAGGATCCCAAGAGTATGGTACCGGGCTTGTGGACTTCGGAACCATTGGGAAAATGTCTCCCTTTCGTCACAACAAGCTAAAGCGAGGGTCATGACGGTGAGAGCGTTGGCATCATTCAGCTCATCGCGCCATTTATCTATGGCTTGGGCATACTGAATCAGTGTCGTAGGTGAGGTCGATAATCGGCTTTCTTGCATCTGCTTCCGAGGCAGTAAGGGAAGAAGACAATCTTATCGTCGGAATATCTCGCCCTCATCCAGATGCAGTTCGACCGAATTTAAATCGGACGATACCTTCTCGATGGTCGATGACTGAAACATGCGCTCTTGGGACCAAGCCTTCGACGGCACAAATGGACGGAAAATTGCCTTCCATATCTCCGGTTGGTGTTGAAGGTCTTGCAGAATCTGAATTTTCTCTGGTGCCGGAGTGCTGAGTCTCCCGGTATATTTCAACAACCCATGCTGTTCCAGTGAGTAGTCCTGTGGAAGCTGCAGCATTTTTCTCCAAGCCTGCTTCCAGGAGATCTCATCATCCTTCCAAAGGGGACAGCGCTCTCCAATATCCGAGGACAAACCTCCACACTACCTGCCTTCAGGTATGTACTAGGAGTGGCGTCAGCTTGATGAGGGGAATCTCTTCCTCTTCCCACTCCACGAACGGGCGGCTTGGTTACCTAAGGTATTCCGTTGCTGAGCCTTACTAACTACTTTGATCCTGGTTCTAAACTCCATGTCTTCTTGTTGCATTTAACCACCGTACGTACTTCCAGAGCATTAGCCGTCACCTACAAGATCTCATTCAGAATCCTGTAATGTGTCTCGTCCGCTCCTTGTGATAGTCCGGTACGCACTGCGCCCAAACTGGAAACAAGCACAGCAGTCTGAGGAATTAGCAGATCATCCGTTCTCGCGTTGGTCGCGGATGGCGGGGAAGCGATGCTCTAGGGCCTGTATTCGATGCAGAGTGTCGAAAATAAAATGTACCCTGTACGCGCAGAATTTACAATGTTCTGCTGGAATAGAAAAATGCTGACAGGAGAATCCGATCGCAGATCCCACATAGACCACGAACAGTCATGCCCATGCGAAAACTGTTACAAAGCTGGCGTTGAGTGCGTGCCTGCAACATCGAATAGAGGACGAACACGAAGGCAATCGCACCCACAGCAAGCCGAGAGTGGCCTGAAGTCATTCGGGTTCCCGCACAGTCGAGTGCACTTTCCTGCATCAGACCAAGTCGATTCACGCCTCTCGGACCAAGTTGACTTGCACCTGTCGGATCGCACATTCGCAAGCGTCTCACCTACAGCGAGTCTCGGAGGAGCAGGTGAACGTCGCGGTGGTACTGACATTGATGGTATCATTTCTGCTGGCGACCTTCATGGCACTGCAGACATATTGAATTTTGTTCAGAGCATCACTGGCGCTTCTACTGCCGCGGACTCCCCAAACGGCAGGCTGAATGTCTACTCTAAACTGGCCAGTCCGCATGTGCAAGCCGCGCTGGATCCTGTGACGCCTTGCTCGGAATACTTTCTTATCTCGTCTGGTCAGTTGACCTTTCCAGAGCTGGCACGACTCCTCGAACGGTAAGCCGTGGACGTTTTTTGAAGTAAAACTAAGTGGTTGCAGATTTGCTGAGGTGTATTGTCCCTACTATCCAATCATTCCACGGAAGGCACTATGCCGGGAGAATTTAGCGAACATGGCGAATTGCGAGCCTGTTCTTCTTACGGCGATGATAACAATAGCCGCACAGGACATTCGTGGAGCTAACGATCGTATACTACAGAGCTGCTCCCAGTACATGCAAATCTTGTTGGGTGAGATAATGTTAGGTATACGATGCAAAGTGGACGCTCTCGAGGCTACACTCTTATTAGCAGAATGGGAACCTCAATACTCCCTCCTGGACTCTACAGCCAGAAGATGCGGTGGCGAAGACACTGCTGCGTTTATGCATATTGGTCTGGCACTTCGAATAGCTTCCTTCTTGGACCTGGAGCAGGCTTTTCCCGAAGAGTCTAAAAAACCAGCGGATCAAATTACAAGGGAGGCTTTGGCTTATGTCGGTAAGAGACAAGTCTTCTCTTCCAGCTACCGCTGACCTGTCTGTGTTTCTGTAGCTTGCTTCTTGTCCGACCGCCAGATCTCTATTCGTACAGGCCGACAGTTTGGCTTTCACGGCACAACTCCGGCATTTTTGGCCCGACTGCTTCTGTTTGCAGACACTCACCGAAGGAATGTGAAATGCAAAACGAGCAACGCTGATCAAGCTAAGATACTGGAAGCACGCCTAGAGCTTACCTCAATCTATAGCGAGGTGCATCAACATCTCTATCGTGGACAGATCGATGCCAGCAGGACGTTGCAGGACCAGATATGCGACCCCCGGCTCAATGAGTTTCGAACAGCCATGACTGCATGGAAGACTAAGTGGGGCGGTGTTGATTGTAAGTTGCTCGCTCAAAGGACCGTTGCCCACGGTGTCTCCCGTTGAGCGCGAGCCTTATCGTACTAATGTTCACAGACCCAACACAAGTGAAGATCCAGCTGGACTTGTCGTTTGAGTATTTAAGACTGTACGCAAATGCTTTCGTTTTTCGCGACAGGGCTGGGAATCATGATAGTTGCTCTATCGATCAAACTGCGTCCGGACTTTCGTCTACAGACGACTTCTTCTTGCAGTCTCTGGACGCTGCAAAAACGTTCCTCGCCATTTTAAACAATCACATACCCCCCGGAAACCCTTTCAATTATTTACCTATCCGATTCCTTCTGTTAGTATGTTCGCCAAGAAGTTTTCATCCGCTGACACTACGTAGTTACGCTGTCAATTGTGCTGTGCTTCTATATAAGGTTCCCGACCCTTTCTAAGAGACTGCTAGGGTGAAGACTGACAACCCTTTCCAGATCCTCACCCTGAAGATCGTCCCGCAGCAGGAGATCGTGCGCGTGCACGTACTAGTACGGGCAACCATAAAAAGGTTGAAGCAAAGCAGCCTACGTCCGAGTGATCTAGCGTCGCACTACGGTCATCTACTCGATTTTCTGTGGTCGACAGAGAGATATAGGCTGAACCCGGATCCTGACTTAAGTTCAACCTCCGAACCCTTTCCAACCAGACGATCCGATGTGGATGTAGATCTCGAAAACACGTCTAGTTTTGTATCAGGAGATACCACGGGCGTAGATCTAGTCTACTCGAGCCAACATCAGTACCGTCAGGACCGTCCGGACCAGAACCCAGACCTCAATTATGACATTTTGCAGCAGCTCACAGCGCACGATCCTGCATGGGAGAATCTATTGTTTGGCGACAATCTAGCAGAAGACACAACTCACTAGATTCTGCATAACTTCAGAACCTCGACACGAATACAACAGTGGAGACGCAGCGCAGCAGGATTTGATATCAGGAACTCTTAGATGCCCATGTGGTTGTACAAGAAACAACAAAAGACAGCCCGGTCTTCATTTGGAACAAAGCTCGAGGTCTCAAGGAGGGCATCGGCGTAGATTTTCCATTACGGAAGCTGAAGTTGTCTACAGACCTTGCGCCATCAGGAGACTTCGCAATTAGTCTGCGCCAGACGAAGCGATGCATTGGCGGGCACATTACCTGACTGAGTATGGAGCATTGCGTGCGTACCAAGATGTCGACGATACCAAAGGAGCCCAGTAGCACAGGCACGAAAGCTCTGAGATGCAGAAAGATCGCTCCATTAATGCAGTAGTAATTCCACCATCGTCCTTCTCGGAGTTTCCTCGAGCAAAGCTACCTCAAAGCTCACATCATTCGTGGTCCTCGTGCTCCAGCCCATCCTAGCGGTAGCAATAGATGATCTCCCACTGATCAGGCTCTCCATGCACGACCCTAGACAACGAGCAGCCTCCGTGGTCACATAATGCCGCTTCTGCTAGGAAGATTGCGATGGGTCGTGTCGCATTTAGAATAATCACGCAGGTCTCAATGGATATCTCTGCTGAGTACCACTAGTGACGAAGGGGAACTGCCATTTATTCAACTAAATTTATTTTCACCCGCAAAACTCACGTTCCTCCACCTCGAATCTTTCCCTTTCTGAGATTTGACATCTGCCCCTCCATCCCACCACTGCCAGCCCGTGCCGCATGTGCTAACAGCAATGGATCTCGGTGTTCATGCACTCCAATGAAGGCTGAACGAATCCTTGCACAGCCACTAGCTGCGAAGGCGTTGTGTACGTGGATGTGTATAAGTACTCGAGGAATACATCGAAAACGTCGACAGTGGTGGCTCCTCCCACGGAGGGTTATCCTCTTGATTCCCACTGGAAACGGTTCCGGTGAAATTATGTCGCGCTCGATAGAATGGGCATCGATCCACTAGGACCTGCGAATGGGCATAGTATGGCGTCTTCTCTGAGCCTACGTATATGAGGACCGGGCTTGAGGTGAAATGCCTGCAGGCTGGTCAGGGGTGGCCGACAATATGCAGAGAAGCTGACATCAGTTACGTCCTCGTCCAACTCATTCAGCCCTTCGTCCTTCTTTCTACCCATGATCGTTTGGCTAGCCCGCAGGCCCTGAGGAGAGGAGAGCATATTGGGCCTGAATTTGCTTCAGGCGCAAGGTGTTGCTCAGCAGGAACCGCCAAGAGTTACCCCGCAACGCATGCTTTAGTGTACTGTGAGTGCCAAGTGGGTGTCCATCCGTTTCATGTCCCAGCCCAGTGACTGCGGCATGATGACGTGAATTACTCCTGACGAGAGGTCGATATATCTCGCCTTCAAAAATATATTCAAAGGAAAAGACGCACATGTTCGGACGAATAAGAAGATTCGCAAGCTGATCCAAGTCCACCAGACCAAGGCCGAAGTTCGCGACTTGATTGCTGAGTATAATGTCGACAACGAGTGCAACGCCGTCAAGAGTCTGCTCGAGCAGTGTATTTTCGAATCCACCTTGAAGGCGAAGATCAAGTTTCCAGAGGTGTTTGACATCTCGCCGGCGCAGAGTGCTGATCGTGCAGCCTCGGAAGCAGAAGCTGCGCGAGCTGAGGTTCATGTGATACGAGACATTTACTTCAGACCTCAAGACTTGAATGCGGTATCTGCAGATCGTCCGCCGGAGAGGAGATAAGGTACCAAGTGGTATGGTAATCCTCGCTATCCTGCTGACTCAAAACCGTCCTAGCCTCAGAATTCGAACCTCAACGCTGTCGCGATCCCGAACCTGACGAAGCGAACACCTTCCCTATACCCTGTCTATCTCCTCTACGCTACCCAGCACTGCATCTTACTGGAAGTGCAAACCCCTCTTAGAAAAAAGCATGCTACACCTTTGGGCAACAACGAATACCTCCAGTATTGCAGTCGTCGACAAAATCACCTTTCTTCAAGATTAATCAATACTCTCAAAGAATAGGGCATAGCGATTTGTGCGAAGTAATGCTCAGAAAGACGATGATAATAATACCAAACCACGTGACTTTCGACTTCAACTGCGGCTTTCTAGCTGGGAACTGTTGAACCCGTCTCAAGGGGTCTGTGGGTGGGTGAGTGAGCGTTGTATCTTGTCTGGTCTGCCTTACATTGAATGGCCTTTTCATGTTGGCGGCAAAAACCAATTCTGGTCAACTACTTTTATGAACCAGTGCAAGCATGTCCATGGAAGTCGCCGTGCATGGATCAGCAGAATAAATACTATTCGTTTCGAAATTTCTATCAGTTCAATAGGCTGATACGTCCCGCAGCCAACCGTCCAACCACGGCATTCGCAGGTGCAAGGCCCATTTCTCTCAGGTATTCGAAGCACATAGTTCTTCGCCTCAGTGAGTACTCATCATCGCTCAGACCTATGCATAATCCATGGGGCCCAAAGGCATATATCTTGCCGGCAGGCCATGGCGATTCGCCATTGGCAAACACTATCCAACTCTCTCTCAAATGGTGACCAACCTGCTCAGCTCCTCGATTGTGCGAGATGTCGATACCACCAAAGAGAATACTCAGGTCGTTGGCGTGGTGGGCACGACTGGAGGACTGCCAAGGATTCGACTCATCGAACACAAATTGATGGACTGGTTTCTTCTCTCGTACCCAGCGCTTTGCGATGCTGTCTACAGGAAGTGCGAAGCGAGAATCATTAATGAAGTCCAACGCACCGTATTTGCATTGTGTGGGACGGCTGCGATTGATGTGGTAAAGCCTGCTTAGATTAGGAGCGTATTCGCCGGCGGCGGCAAAGCAGTCAGCAATCTCGTCGGCTGACATTGTTTCGATCCCATTCCTCCACAAAACAGACTGGAAGGTCAGCAGAGGAGCTTGAATTTCCATGATTCCACTTACCTCGTACTCGACGTCACCGATCATGAGACTTTTTACAGTCTCAAATTTCTCTTGCCAACCATGGAACGACGGCTCATCTTGGAGCCACATTGAATTGATGCCGCATGTAGTTAGAGCCTTTACCAAGGATGAAGCAGAAGCATGCCGTAATGACCTTTTCTCTTCTTCTTGAACTGCCTTCTCCAATCGCTGTACCAAACCAGCACCGATGGCTTGTGGAAGAGGCGGTGAGAGGTACAATGAGCCGGACACAAGGATGGCCCTGTTCACCGGTGCTCTCGTGAGTATGTGTGCATGTGTGTACACAGCCCCGGCACTTTCGCCAGCTAACGTTATGTTGTTCTAAGAGATATCAGGGCCCAAGTCTCCCAGTATTTCATACAAGCGATGAGATCGGACTTACCGGATCACCCCCAAACTCTGAAATATGGTCACTGACCCATTTGATTGCTAGTCGCTGGTCTTGCAACGCAAGGTTCACTTCCCCTTTCCCATCGCCAAACGCGAATATGTTCAAGCGGTAATTAAAGCTGACGTAGATTATGGGTTTGCCGCATGAAATAGATTGCACAACCAGTCTTGTGGGATCTTGTCTCGTTCAGAACAACAGGCAACAATGAAACCAATATAACATACCAAAGACTGCTGTGGAGGGTGATCCGAATGTCATTACCTGCGAACCTCCTGGGATAATTGTCAGATTCGCGCACAGGAATATAGATACACGAGCACAGACCGTGAATCCATAACACTACTGGCAAAGAAGCTTCGCCTTGGGACACCGATGATGGGCAATGTACATTGAGATTTAGACATTTGAACTCATCCTCTTCAAGCTTCGAGCTTGGTAAGTCGCTTGGAAGCCGCAGAAGGTGTCCAATATCAATCTGTGGTTGGGGACACTGCGGACTCAAGGCCCAATATCTTAGTCAAAAGTACGACCTCTCAGTGCATCTTATTCTTACCCAAACTGCGTTGCATCAAAA